AAAAAAAAAAAAAAAAAAAAAAAAAAAAAAAAAAAAAAAAAAAAAAAAGAATTTAGTTAGTAGATCTTAAGCAATAAAATATAAATTACACACTTGCTTATAAAACTAGTAATGGGATAAAGATTATCAGTTTATCAGCAGGATGCTAGAGAACTGAAAAGGAAACCATAAGCCTGGAAGCAGGTTGACAAGAAATGGGATTAAAAAATCTTCAGGGTTCTGACTAGCATCTCGCTTCGGAGAGCATGATGCTGATAACACCAAAGTTGAGGGTTCAGAGCCCCGTACTGGCCAGCCGCCAAAACCAAAACAAAAACATACAAAAATCTTCAGTAAGATAGAAGGACATGGTTCTGCAATAAACTTCTCAAGCTGATCAATCCATTTCTAAATTGCTTGTTTTATTTAGCGAATGTCCACTAATTGCAAAGAGCCCCAGTTCTTGTATTGCTTCTAATCTTGTGGAAGATATAAATGATAAACAAGTTGCCACACACTTAATTATAAAATTACAAACTGATGTTACAAGAATTTCTGATTAAATCCAAGAAAAGATTAAAAGTAGTTAAAAGTAATTAAGACAAGGCTAGAGTTGCCTGAGGAAAACTAAGAATACACATTAACTCAATGATGGTAGGTATCACCTGGACTGTTGTCTCTTGCTGTCATCTGCATAAGAAGTGCCATCTGCTTTCGCTCAGAGAGTGGATAACCAAAAAGAATGCTAACTGGTGTGGATTTCTTATTTCCAGCTTCCTTTTTCGTTTTCTTCTTTTCTGGACCTTCTTTCTCTGTAATTATTAATAAATATGTAAGAATTTGAAACACATATAAGTACTCAAAAGCAAAACATAAGATAATGTTTTTGATACACGCTATTACATGTATATGAAAAATGTGTGTAATACATAAAACTAGTAAGAGCCAGACAAAAGAGCACTGGACTTACATAAGCAATTTTCTTCCTGAATGCTCTGGAAAAATATACTTTTAATTATACTGTTTTCAGAAAATAACATTTGGAAAATTATTCCTAGCAAAATTTGTAATTTAATGACTTATTCTATTAAAATTTAACTATTTCAATAACATCTCAAATATTCCTTAGTGTTACATGTTTGAAACTTCTCTTTCATTCACTGTAATTTTATTCTTAATTACTTACTGCTTAATTACTGCTAAGTCTATATAGCAATGCTCCTTCAAATTACTTCCCTAAATAATTATTTGTCCTAATAATGGGCCAGAACTTAGAAGTTTAAACATAGGTATACTGACAAATGTGCTCAGCACAGTCCACTACTACAGACCTGAAAACCCACTCAACTACCTACAGATTTTTTTTTTTTGACCGGTAAGGGGATCGCGACCCTCGACATGGTGTTGTCCCCACCACGCTCAGCCAGCGAGCGCACCGGCCATCCCTATATAGGATCTGAACCCACGGCCTCGGTGCTACCAGCACCGCACTCTCCCGAGTGACCCACAGGGCCGGCCCCAACCTACAGATTTTTAAGGAAAAATCCAAGAGATTCACTGAAGGCAATTCAAAGCAAATATAGAAATGAACTTTTCAACAACCCAATGTTGGATCTTCAGAAATACGGAGATGTCCCAAGTCTTATAATCTTGAAAATTAATGCTTTCTTTTCAAGTCTTGTCAGAATAAACAGAAAGCTTAACATTGTCACATCCCAATTAAGTGTAGAATATATTAAGGAGAAGAGACAAAATTGTGTTCTTGGGAAACTTGGTTCATAAACCTACCAATGTCTCAAAAATTAAAGAGACATCTTCCCACAAAGCAGTCAATGTATAAGGAATGAAACAATGGAGCTACATTTCAAATATAGTCAAACATAATTAAATCAATCATGTTTGCAATGTACATACTTCAATTCTGAGAAAAGATTTCACCATTACACTCTAGTTCTCTAAAAGATGAATGTCTATATTTTTTGATTTCCAGCAATGACGCATAGATCACAGATGGCTTCATCACACACAGTTCTTTTAGGTGTACCTTGGTGCTTAGGAGTTACCTTTTAGAAAAATATGCCTAATTCCACAGTAACTGATTTTGAATACCTGCCTCTCCCTCCATTTTGGTTTATCAGCTCAACTGACAACTTTCAGGATAATTTTAAGGATTATTATTCTGTTTTAGCCCCACCCCTATCCAACCCCACAGATTTATAAATCAGAAAAAGGAGGTTCATTTCAGTTTTTATAGCTAAATGTCATATGCTGCAAGCTGGACACTTACATACCCAGGGACTAAATATTTCCATTTTTAAAAGTTCAAAGGTGAGAATGTCAGCCCATTAAAAAAAAAAAAAGGGGGGGGCAATTAAAACACTAATTAGTTGTCACATACTAAAGAAAACATTTACTTTTTATTTTAAAATGATAGTATTTACACATTCTCTTGAATTCTTCTATCTGGAGCAATCATGAATCAGAAACATAATAACTGGTGCCACAGCCAAATAGAGAGGTTCCAACATGGTTTATGGTAATGGCATTTTTCCATGTAATCTGGTATTTTAATCCACTTACAGTTAAATTCAACTTGGGCATCAAAGCCAAAAAAGACTAAAAACTGCAATAGAAAAAAATGTTAAATGTGTGGTTTTAAAAAACATCACATGACTGAAGGGTAAGATGGCACCATCTATCAAAATCAGTACACTTGGTGTCTCTTGTGAAGGGTATATAACAAAACAGAAAGGACCTCAGGTATCTTCCCATAGGGTTGTTGCACTGCACAATGCCAGGAGTTGATTTTCACATAGTTTTCTACATGACTAGTGTCCCCATGTTCTGCTGTACAAAATCTGAGTGGAGGTACACAAGCAGTCCTGCTTACAATGTTCGCACATAGTATGTGCTGGATATGATGCACTGGATTATCTTAGAACAAAAATTGGAAAATTTGGTGTTGCTCATGTAGCTCATTTATTCAACCAAAGATATCTATACACTGGTTTGAAAATAAGTTACTTAAAGTACAATAATTGTCAATGTGACAGAAACCACTGGCTAAACAGGAGCACCTGATAATCTAATTACCTGAGTATGTCCTGTAAGAAGATATAAGTCTCTCCCCCCAATTTTCACTTGTATGTCCTGGATCTGAATCTACAGAATGAGAAGAGACAGGAGAAAAGAAAAAAGCACACGAAGGGAAATACAGAATTCAACAAACCAACATTTTTCAAAAGACCACCAGTTGTCAATGATCTATCATTTTTCCAAAAGATTATTTTTAAGGAAAAGCCAAAAGCACATTTAAAACATAGGTTTGGCCCACACCTAAGATTTCAGTTTCTTCAACTGTAATATCTTAAAGTTGAGAAACTTAACCATGCCGTTTCAATAATAGATAGCATTGATGCAGCTTATTAAAACATACCATCTCTTTTGATGCTTTATATATTTTTTCAATCTCTGAATAATGGTAAAAGAGGCAGTACTGTATCACGTTTTCTGTTTAGAATTTGTCTGCAGAAAACTTGAACCACACCCCTTTTTACTGTATGAGTGCCAAAACTACTCCAAAGATAACAGAACACTTTGAATTTCAGTATCATCCTAGACACTGACCATTTATTAATTATATACATTTCATATGGTATGAATTAGTAAACTAATCACTACTGAAGACCTCTTAGAAGAAAGCAGCCTAAATCAAAACAAAGTTTATCAGTTAAGAATATGAAATTCTGCCTAACAATTCATGACAGAGAATAAGCATATAGAGAACTGACTCTGGCAACATGTCCAGAGCATATATTTCTGCTTACAAACAATATGCCATTACAACTCACAATAATATTATTCTTATATTTATATGCTCAATTTATTGACATATACTTTTCTTGCCATGATCATTACAGAAAATATTTGTGATTTCAGTTAGGGGTAGGTAACCAAGTGCTGAAAAAAAACCAACATAGAGAACAAGTAACCCTTACACATACCATTTAAAAATTTTAAAGATAAGCCTGAAAGTCTAGTGATTAGAAAGTTTACTTAATTGAAAGGAGAATAATTAAGTAACATTTAGACCAATTCTAAAGCAAGCACGTAAATGGATTGAAAGACAAGACTTTCAATGAACATGTATATTTCAAAACTGAATATGTTAAGTTAGCAATCATAAGAATTCCATGAAAAATATTTGACATTTCATTTAAAGACAAGCAAAAAACCTTAAATGGCCTCCACAGATTGCAAAGAAAAAGCAGCAACCAATAATTTAGGTCAATTGGATTAAATGTATTATTGAAGGTAGATTATATTAACAGATTAAAAGCACGGTAGATAAACTGAACTTTCAATTACATTCATTAATATAAGGAAATCATAAAACAGTTTATCCAAATCTTCCTGTGCAAGTAACCATATATTCTGACTCCACACACCCTTTCGCTTTTACTCAAAAAAGTATGTTTATATTTTGGGCATTTGAATATGCATTCTATAAAGATTTAATTCAGGAACTGTAAAGTTAAATCTTCCATATCTTGTCTGTTTACTTAACTACTTTTTCCTTCTATGCTGTACTGAGAGTAGGCTGTATGAGACTACTGCTATTTATGAGACTGACATAAAACACCTGCTAAGCAGAGCAAGGCAAGACAACAATACTCTATATCTTGTCTGTTTACTTAACTACTTTTTCCTTCTATGCTGTACTGAGAGTAGGCTGTATGAGACTATTGCTATTTATGAGACTGACATAAAACACCTGCTAAGCAGAGCAAGGCAAGACAACAATACTCCCTTGCAACTACAACAGCCTAACCAATAAGATGCAGACAGAAGTTCTTAGGGAGGTTGTTTCATCAATAAAAAGGCCAAGTCTCACCAGAAGAAAAACACTTTTGTCCTTGGTCTTTCCCATCCTACTTCCTGCCCAGGAAGAAGCAGCAATTCAATCTTGTGACTATAAGGCAAAATGCTTAAGGACAAAGCCCACGTATAAGCTGAGGGTGGCAGAGCAGAAAGATGAAAAGAAATCAGTCCCTGATGGCATTATTGAGCTGCTGTAACAACTCTGGACTACCTATGGCTGGCCTTCTTATTGCATTAAATTTAAAATTCCCTATCTATTTAAGCCAGTGTTAGGCAGTTTTCTGCAATGTTTAATTAATGTATCACAAACTGAATTTACATGTTATGTCACTTAAAGGTCATAATTCTCTGAAGTTGATATTATTAGATGCACTTTTACAGATGAGGAAATTGGGACTTGTAAAGAAGTCAAATAATTTGGCCAGGGCTTACAGGGAGCTGTGCTGGGACTCAACACTGGTCAGACTCCAAAACCTTTGATAATAAACACTATGCTATGATTTACCTCTATTATAATTGTAATAACTTATCCTGTTAGGATTCTAGACCAGGAGAGATTGAAAGTTAAGAGCTAAAACTAAGTGATAAAGCAAACTGATTTAGTATGTACAAGAAATGTACTCTAGATGAGAAGTAGTTGCTTTTATGCTTCCACAGGTTCAATAGGTCTTTGTATATATTGGCTTCTTAATATCTCACAGGACAAAATTTATGCAAATTCTGATAGGATAAGACAATACAGAATGAATACTGGAATGCTAAAAGCAGATATGCTGGTGATTTGCTGAAATAAAATAATTCACAATGAATAGTATACTATGATGCAGCTAAAAGGACCTACTGGCATAACTTCAAATTATGTTGTAATTCTTCCCAAATTTTATCTGGTCAAGCACATACTTTTCTAGAAACTATTACCTTTAAAAGAACCGGTTAAGTATTAAACAATTGATAATTTAGAAAGTTTAAGACATACTAGGTATCTCAAAAGGAAAACTAAGAATCCCTCATTCAGCTGATGGCACTACTGCTGATTTGGGGGACCAGTGAGTTTCCTTGGGCAATGATATGAACATCTTTTTTTAAAAAGTAATGACTCTGGGCCGACCCTGTGGCTCACTTGGGAGAGTGCGGCACTGGCACGCCGAGGCCGCGGGTTTGGATCCTACATAGGGGTGGCCGGTGCGCTCACTGGCTGAGCGTGGTGCGAGTGACGCCGCGCCAAGGGTTGCGATCCCCTTACCGGTCACAAAAACAAAAACAAACAAAAAAAAGTAATGACTTTACTTTTTAAAGTAATATATATATATTCTTTAAAAAATTCAAGCCATACAAAAGGTACAAAGAATAATGTAACAAATATCTCATCTGGTAGGCATCATTCGAAGCATCCCTCTAAATATGTGAGGGTACTTCAAAATGTTCATGGAAAAATAGAATCGAAAGATAATACAAATCTTTCCACGAACATTTTGATGTATCATCATATACAAAGACAACAGAGAAAGAAATTTATGTAACAAATTATATATGCTATTTTAAATAAAAAGCTTAATTTTATTTTAATCCAACATAAAAAGAAAGGAAACTAAATTGCTGCTTCTCTATAAAAGATATCACATACAAAAATATAAACAAATATACATAAAGGAATTTTAAATAAAGGAACATTAAAAAGTTTAAATAATTTTTTAAAACTATGTATTTCAGTTCAGACAATATCAGTTAATCCCTTGCTAAGAGAGATGATGAGCTGAATAGCATTATTAACACTTTCTCCTTATTTCCCATCCTCTTATTTTACTAAGCCAGAGTTTATAACATTTACATTTTGTTCTGGACCCAAAATACAACAAACAGGTTTGGGCTTAGTTTCTACAGTGAAACAGTCATTTATATTTAAACAGTCTTAGTTTATCTTTCTATATGTGTGTTAATATAGGTCATGTGTGTACATGTATACAGTACATACTGTTTCATAACCTAGTTCTTCACTTCCAATATCATGAACATCTTCCTACATCATGTATTCTTCTACAATATTATTTTTAAGGGTGAAAATCATATTTATTGATTGGATTTACCACAGTTTAACAAATCCCATATTACTTGACATTATCTTCCTGTTTTTTCCCCTGCTATAAACAGTGAGGTAAACATCCTTGAAAAGAAATTCTTGCTCTCAATAATTACTTATATAAAATAAATGCCAAAAGAAAGAATTAGTCAAATATTAAGAAACTAGTTTTTGATATATGTTGTCATATTTACCTCCAACAAGACGTTCCTATAATGTAAGTCAACTAAAGGAAGTCAAGCCATGACTACTGGGTATGATTTGGACCAATATTAATTTTGTCAATTGTATTTCTTTGATTACTATTTATATATTCTCTCATATATTTCTTTGCCAACTGTAATTCTGTTGTTCTTGAATTACACTTGCTTGTATTTTTTATCCATTTTCTCATTTTGTGTTTTTCTTTTCACATTTAAGAAATCTTTAAATAGTACATAGATTAAGGTAAGGGCTGCCATATATGTTGTAAATATTTCCCCTTGTATATCTTTATCTTTACAGTTTCAACTAACAGTTTAAAATACAGTACACTCTATTAAAAAAAGATCAATATCAGATTTGGAGTTTGATGCTATAATTGTCTTTCATATGGAAAATATCACTTAATGGTACTGTGTATTCTACTTTATCTTAAAAAAAAAAAAAAAATGGATTGTAAATAACACATTTTGCTCTGGGCCTAGGGAAATTTTTAATGTTTTGGTTGTGTGTAGTATGTAAAACCAAAGTCTTCATCAATTATTTACTAAAGTTTATAAAACCAACCTACCAAAAATATATATTTTAAATCCACTGAAATTTTGTTTGGTTGTGGTGTGTAACTTTTTAAAAAGAAAAATTAAGAGTTTGTTATAAAAAGTCTTAAAGAAGGGAAGCTGCAACATCCTACTAAATTCAAATAGTGAAAAAAATGCAGCAGGGAAAAAAAGGTATATACAATCCAATTATTAAAATATGAATTTGATTATGTTTATTCAGTGCCTAAAGTTCATGTCTTCCTAAGCAACATTTTCTCCTTTATTTTACTCTAAATAAAAGACAAATAATCCATCTTATATAATAACAAGACTTCTTGTGGGAAGCTTCTTATTTTGAAAACTTATTTATTGCTAAAAAACGTTAACACTTTGAATTTAATGAAAATCCCTTTTTGAAACTACTATTAGAAATATCACTGTTATAGACAAAAAAAAAAAAAAAAAAAAAAAAAAAAAAGGGGCCGGCCCGGTGGCGCACTGCTACAGTGCGCCGCTTGGGAAGTGTTGGGAAGCGAAGCGGTGCTCCCGCCGAGGGTTCGGATCCCACGTGCAGACCGGCGGCTCACTGGCTGAGCGAGGAGCGGGGGCAACACCGAGGGTTGCGATCCTGTTGCCGGTCCCGGTCCAGTACGGGCGCGACACTGAGGGTTGCGATCTGTTGCCGGTCACGAAAAAAGACAAAAAGACAAAAAAAAAAAAAAAAAAGAAATATCACTGTTATATGAAAACGAAACTTGGGTACTACAAATAACTTAAAAATGACTAGGAAAAGGGCCGGCCCGGTGGCGCACTGCTACAGTGTGCCGCTTGGGAAGCGAAGCGGTGCTCCCGCCGAGGGTTCGGATCCCACATACAGACCGGCCGCTCACTGGCTGAGCGAGGTGCGGGGCAACACCGAGGGTTGCGATCTGTTGCCGGTCACAAAAAAAGAGACAAAAAGGAAAAAAAAAAAAAAATGACTAGGAAAAGAACTCCCAAAGAGGAGGGTTAAACCTTAAATATGTATCTAAAGGCACATAAGCACCTTCTTCTCAACTAAGTGACCTAGTAACAGCTTGAGAATGTCACTTAAGGATAAGAAGAGTCATGCTTCAAGAAAAAAAACCTTCTGAATCTCTAGAAGAAATGGGTGTACTTAAAATGAACAAAACACAAAATTTCTTAATCACTCCAAGTATAAAAATTTCATGAGTGTTTAAGAATAATTTCTAATTCAAGTTAAGAGAGATAGCAAAATACACAAGAGATCTACCTACCTACCTAAAATGCATACTAAAAATTAAGTATTTCCTAAACCTATGTTAGCACAAGGTATTTCAAAAATCTTTATTTTCATAGTTTCAAGAGTCAAGATCATTTCTGTATTGGCTTTTAATGTAGCCAGAAAGATATAAATAGGACATAATCTGTGTACCTAAACTCAAAATAAGACACTATCTTTCTGGGAGTGAAACTAAAACATTCTTAAAGAACAGCTCATTATTAATATTTCATGCCGGGAATAAAACAATTATGAGAAATACATAACAAACATTCAAGTTTATATTAGTTTCAAGAAATAATTAGTTTGGGGCTAAAGCACAACCTAGTAATTTATTAGACAGAACTTATTATAGAAAAGCAGGTTCTCACCTGTTATGAATAATTGGGATTAACTGATTTCAAGCATCAATTTCTGGCACATAAGAGTTTTGAAAAATAAAAGTACTATGAATAGCACTTGGCAGTCAGCCTAAATTTCTTTTTTTTGTGGTATGTACTTCTAATTCATTTCTGAATCTAAAATGCCTAAACTTCTTTGGTGTGTCCAATAATATGTCCACAAAAGCTCAACAACTTTTTCTTAAATCTACCATATCCTACTGCTCTGTTATCACTGAGTAAATTTTCATCATTGCAATGTTCCCCAAAATATTAAGTTCTGAAAGTGGTAAGAGATTTGTAATGAATACTGAGAGAGTAAGGAATAAAGCAATTTTTAAATCTCTGGTTAGAAATCACATATGGGTGACACATGAATTTCTGCTCCTAAATGATAAATGTGAAATACTGAAATACAATCATTTCTCTATAAGGTGGGGTGTCAAAAGAGTGGTGAACATGAAAGGAAAATCACAGTAAAAGAATGATTAAGATTTTACTAGAAAACAACAAATTATTGTACCTGTGTCTGAATCTCGTTCTTCATTTCTTGATGGGCTAATGGGAAAAGGAAGTTTACGTTTCATAGATGATTTCTCTTTCATCTCCTTGCCCACATCACTTCGGTCAATTTTTGGAGTTTTGCTGTAAGATGCAATCTTGTCTTTACTCTATTAAAAAATCAAATATGAATAAAGTTATATCAATATTAAACAATACACTATTAAAAATATCTTTTTAAAGTAAATTTTCAAATGTACACAAAAGTAGAAAGTGACGTTACAACCCATCATTGTACTCAATGTACTCAAGATCCAGCTTCAACAATTATAACAGTTTTTGTAACTTGTTCCATATTCCCCTACTTTTACTTAATAACAGAAATTTTCAATAAAACAAAATATCTTGAATACAACAGAACCATATGTCTATGCATAATCTAGATGTATCACCAATGAATATACAAATCTGAAAAAGCAATTTTGTATTGAATTAAACAGACTGTGTTTTATTTAAAAAATATAATTATATGTATCAGTAGTTCTCAAACGGTCTCTGGACTAGAAGTATCAGCATCATTTGGGAATTTATTAGAACTGTAAATTCTCATGCTCCATTCCAGGTGTACTCAATCAGAACCTCTGGGGTGAGGCCCAGTGATCTATTTCAACAGTCCTTTCAGGTGATTCTGATGCATGCTAAAGCTTGAGAACCAATGCTCTTTATCAATAGAGGTAAAGATACATAGATCACAGGAACCAAAGGAAAACCTATCCAGATCAGTAAAAGATAACAACTTCATTTCTTAAATCAGACAAACAGAAACACATTTCCAATTCAACTTGGAAAAAGGGAAATATACCAAATAAAAATATGATTTACCCACTCAGCCAATGAAATATCCCACTCTCATGGCCTAAAGCTATTAAAAGTTCACTCCAATAATCCAACACTGTTGGGAAAATAAAGGAAAAATGGTCAGGGCCCCTCAGATGTTCAGAATCTTGCCGAGCATTTGATATAAATAGGCATATGCGCTCAGGTATTCCTTGGTTATCGTCTAGTGTAATTGCACACATGCACCCAGGTGTCCTGGGTTATGGACTTAAGTATAATGATGAGTGGCTCTGATCCACGGTGCCTCCCATCCCCAGGCTGGCCCCCCTGTGGGAGGGCAGGGGGAGGCCACTACTGCTGCTGGAGGCTGTTGCTGCTATTGTCCCCGGGACCCTCTGCAAGGCCACTGCCACTGCTGGACCTGTAAGCTGCTCCCACTGAGGAAGCTGAGGACTGAGCTCATGTTATCTGCCAACAGCTCCTGGAATCTTTCCCAATTACCTAGCATGTACCTGCGTGTGAGGGGTCTGGGGATCCAGCCTGGCACATGAGGGGTCTGGTGACCCAGTCTGTACAATGCGTTTGGAGGGTCTGAGCCCTAGCTCTGACATTATAAATGGAAACTTCACATAACTAAAATAATAATTAAAATAATGAAACATTTTGGCTTTACTTATGCCTTACTTTACAAACATCCAAATTGGCAGAGCACATCTAACCTGGGCTATAAGGACTCCTTTGAGAAAACATGCTTAATACTAAGAATTAAGCCACATCACCTTAGCAGAAGAGCTTAAAAGAATATTCCCCAAACTATGATAATAAATGATATTTATTGTAATTACAGAGATTATCAGAAGCAAATTAAAAGTAGGTTCAGACTGCAAAAGACATTAGCTTTTAACCCAGATGTAAAATAGGGGTGTAAAAAAATTAAAATACTGAACTTCTTTCCAAAAATCAATAAAATCTGAATTTTAAAAGAAATTTAAATTTCTTTTAAAGAAAGAAAGAATTTCAGTATTTCAAAAAATACTGAATTTCTTTAAAAAAAAAAAATCAATAAAACCAAAATATGATTCACAATAGAATAAACAAGTTTTTGGCAAGTCTAATCACGGAAATGAGAGAGAAGAGAAAAATAATAAAGACTAGGATTCAGCCTAAATACAACTCCAGAGGGGACATTAAAACATTACAAAGAGTGCTGTATTCATTTTTACACCATTAAAAATCTTAAGTCCTGGAAAAATGGATAATTTTCTTAGAAAACATGAATAACTAAAAAATTGGCCCATGAAAGGAAGAAAAACCTGAATAGATCAATGACCATAGAAGACAATATACAGCCAAAGATTTTGTTTAAAAAGACAACTATCCCAGAAGACTTTACCTCAGTTTAAAAATCCAAGAAACAATATATTTTCCATTTCATATAAGCAATACTACAGCACAGAATTAAGATCAGAAACTCCCCAATCTATAAAGTCTAAAAACTGATACCAAAGAACACAAGATAAGGGCCGGCCCGGTGGCGCACTGCTGTAGTGCGCCGCTTGGGAAGCGCGGCGGTGCTCCCGCGGAGGGTTCGGATCCCACATACAGACCGGTTCCCGCTCACTGGCTGAGCGAGGCGCGGGAGCAACACCAAGGGTTGCGATCCCGTTGCCGGTCCCGGTCCGGTACGGGGGCGACACTGAGGGTTGCGATCCGTTGCCGGACACGGAAAAAGACAAAAAGGTTAAAAAAAAAAAGAACACAAGATAAAAAATTATAAACAAAACCCACCTAATGAACATAAATGAAAAAATCCTAAATAAACTGTCAAACCAAATTCAACATCTAAGAATATAATATACCATAATCAAGTAGGCTTCACCCAGAGAATACAAGGATAGTTCATTACTAGAACATCTTAAGACAATTTACTGCCTCAAAAGATTAAAGAAGAACAACATCTAAGAATATAATATACCATAATCAAGTAGGCTTCACCCAGAGAATGCAAGGATAGTTCATTACTAGAACATCTTAAGACAATTTACTGCCTCAAAAGATTAAAGAAGAAAAATTATAGATGATCCAAACAGGTGACAAGAATAACATCTCAATAAATTATCCATTCATTCTTGATAGGTCTATTAGCAAATAAGAGAATGTGATTTCCTTATATCTTAACTGGTAAAGATTACTAAAAAATAAAAGCCTCATATTATTTATCTTCAAGGTTTAAAGCAAAATTTTCTAGAGCTATTTTTTCATTTCTGCCAATGAAATAGAGATTCATAGTCACAGTTTCTGATTATAAGGTTATCTCGGAAGGAAAGCATACCATGCCATGCCACACCATGCCACACAGGAAAGCACCAGGGCTGGTCAGGAGCAGCCACACCATGCCACACAGGAAAGCACCAGGGCTGGTCAGGAGCAAGAGGAAGGCGGGGAAATGTGGGCAAGAGCTTTTATTGTGGTTTCCATGGGAAAGAAAGGATGAGGCAGGGTAGGTAAACAGGCTTAGGATTGGCTGGTTTTAATAACTTCAGCTGGCCCTAGCGGCTATTTCTCCAATTGTCTAATACCTGGTTCTAGGATGATTAGGGCAGGTGGATAGTGGCCCCGATTGTGAGAGCCCAATAAAAACTGGTGGTAGACAAAAGAAGTAAAATAAAAATAAAATTGGTGGTGGACCCAAAAAAATGGGTGTGGGCTCTGGATTGGTTGTATTGCATATGAAGGCTATGTTTACAAGTGAGTTGTTTATTATCTCTAGAAATTGGTGCTAGACTTGGGGGGACAGTCTGTCAAGGGCAAGGCCCCCGACATCAAAACATCAGAAATACAGAAAACAAAAAGGCATGATTAATACAAAGGCCAACCAATAAAATTACAAAGACTTGCCTTAGAAAATGCATTTTTTGTGAATAAAAGATCTAAGAAAAATATGAAGATGCCCCTTCTCCCTTGCAGCTGTGTAAGTAAAGATACTGTTCTGTGCCACAGTATGAGTTAAAAGAAACCAAGTTGATAATATATTTAATGGAAAGTATTCACAAGAGTATACCGATAATGTTCTATGCAAATATGGTGACTGGTATGACTATTCATTACTACTAGCAACCTGTTTTGTCCTCTGTGAAATAAAATTGTCCTTGCAAGGGTTATTTGAACAGAGGGTTTTCTGAGATTCTTAACACTTTAAAAATGACTTTCAAATTTGGGGAAAATAACTCTCAAAAGAAATACTTATTTCTGATTGTCTTGAAAATTTAACATTACCAAATGGTAGAAATACTCTGTCAATTCAGGAGATCATTAGGAAATCCTTCTTCCATGTCCATAACGTTAAAAAGTTTTTCTCCTTTTTTTCTCCCATTACTATACACTCAATATTTTCATTAGTGTGCTTAGTATATTGATATAGCAGTTCTCAAATTATGGTCCCTGAGACCATTTCAGGGCATCTGCAAGGTCAGAAGTATCCTCATAACACAAAGATGTTATTTGAATCTTACTCTCTCAAGAATACATATTGCAATAAAAATGTTTTTAAAATCAATTGCAGTTATGATTGCACAACTCTGTAAATATACTAAAAACTACTGAATTATACACTTTAAATGTATGACATGTGAGTTACATCTCAATAAGGCTGTTTTTAAAAATGGCAAAATCAAGGTATTCCTACCTAGATCCAGGAAGACTGAGAGAATTCATGGCTGAAGACCTGCCATATAGTAAATACTAAGGATAATTCTTATAGAATGTAAGGAAATGACACCAGACAGTAACTTAAATCCATAGGAAGAAACTGAGAGCCAAAACTGGTAAATTTGTGAATAAATACAAAGAAATGCACACATATAGATTTTTCTTCTCTTATTTCTTTAAAAGATAAGACTGTATAAAACAGTAACATTCTGTTGTTGGGTTAATAATGTAATCTATATTATATAAGTAACACAAAGGAATGGGAAAAGATGGTGCTATATTAGAACAAAGTAGTTATAACTTAATGGAATTAAGTCTATATTAACCCATAACAGATTGTGATAAATCAGGATGTATATTATAATCTCTAGACCAACATCTAAAATAACAGTTCAAAAGACATACTTTAAAAAAATCAGGGAGATTAAAATAGTACACTGAGAAACATTTAAAAACCAAAAAAGGCACCAAAGAAGGGAAAGAAACATAAAGTACATGAAACACATAAGTACAAAGAGCAAAATAGCAGATATAAATTAATATCAGATACAAACCATATCAATAATTTCCTTAAATGTGAGTGGACTTAACACTACAATCAAAAGGCAGGGACTGCCAGTGCAATCAGGCAAGGAAAGAAAAAAAAAAAAAAAAGAGGCAATCAGACAAGAAAAAGAAAAGCCCAGACTAAAAAAAAAATAAAATTATCTTTATTCATAGATGTCATGAGTCTATATGTAGAAAATCCTAAGGAATCAGAAACTTTCAGAACCAATAAATAAGCAGTGTCACAGGATACAAGATCACTAGATAAAAATCAATATTTTCTATACTAGCAACAAAAAGACCAAAACAACATTATATAAAACGACACTGAAAAGAATAAAATACTTAGAAATGATTTAATAATAGAAGTGGAAAATATGTACAATGAAAACCACAAAGCATTGCTGAGAAAAATTAAAGAAGATCTAAATAAGTTGAGAGATATTCCATGTTCACGGATTGGAAGATAATATTGTTAAGAAAGCAATACTACCCAAAGTGATCTACAGATTCAAAGAACAGATTCAATAAAATTCCTATCAAAATCCCTCCAGGCTATTTTTGCACAAACTGACAAGCTGATCCTAAAATTTACATAAAAATGCAAAGGACCCTGAATAGCCAAAACAACTTTGGGGGAAAAGAAAAAAAAAAACAGTTTGAAAATTTACACTTCTTGGTTTTGAAAGCAAATTTGGGGTTGCCTGTTGGTTGGGGTGGGAGTAGGGACTGACTGCAAATGGGCAACAAGTATCTTTTCACAACGATGGAAGTGTTCTAAAACTGAATTGTGATGATGGTTGCACCACTCTATTAGCTAAAAACTGGAAACATCTCAGATGTCCTTCAACAAGAAAATGGCTTTAAAAAGAGAAAAAAAATTCAAAGATTATTTATAAAACTAACTAGAGAAGGAGAGACTAGGGATAGTAGGACCAGTTAGGAGGCAATTGCTGAAGTCCAAATGAAGGTTCTGAGGGTCTAAATTAAACAGGAATAAAGACAGGTGTAAAAAGACAGAATCACAGATCACTGGCAAGAACTAATAACAACAAAACCCGCTAACTTTTATTGAGCTCTTACTATATGCCAAGAATTGTGTGAAGCATAATACTTAAACCATTCCACTGTCTCAACAATTCTATAAAGAAGCACTGTCCTCTATTACAGAGATAAACCAAGACTGAAGAAGTGTAAATTTACCTGAGGTTACAGACCTGGAAAATGGGACTGCTAGTGTATATGTGTGCTTTGCAACCAAAGGTCAGGGGGTGGGAGAAGAAATGCCAAGTAATTGTGAGGTCTTATATTTTTCACCCCTCCCAATGACTAATTCTTTCTCAAGTAACTGTGCAATCTTAGTAATTGTTCATTTTGGGAATGAAAAACAATTGTATCCCCAGGAATTCGATTTATTACTAAAGGGCTTAGATAAATGGTTTGGATTAATCTAGTTTCCATACTGATTTTTATTTTATGAGTAATTATTAAAACTACAATTGTATCCCCAGGAATTCGATTTATTACTAAAGGGCTTAGATGAATGGTTTGGATTAATCTAGTTTCCATACTGATTTTTATTTTATGAGTAATTATTAAAACTAATTAATTGGGAGTCTTTTCCCCAGTTCTAAAAGAGAAAAATTCTTTAGCATAAACATATACCTTTCTTCCACATGGTTTCTCTACCATATTGCTGTCACTGTCAGAATTTTCACTCTGAATTGGTTTTGTGAACCCAGATTTGGGCATTTTATAGCTGTTCAGCTAGCTTCTTCTTTTATCAGTCTTCTCATCCTGGATCTGTAAAGAATGGATATATAATAGTTATTTGTTATACATATACAACAGAACCTACTTAAAGCTAATGCACCACAATTAGCACAATTTTGTTTTCTCTGTCTCTATATTTTCTCAGAGAAGCTATCCTAACTTAAAATAAGGTTTCATTTAACAATTTGAGCTCCTAATTAAAGTTCTATTGTTCAAGTTCACTCAGCTTGTCACTGAAAAGAAGAAAAGAGATATTTATATTTCTCAGCACATTCCCTAGACAAGTAAATACCTCCAGGTTTCTGGGTATGCAGAAGTGAAAGCAGTGGCAAAGAGTTTCTTGTTCCAGCATGGATCCCAAGGTAGGAGCTCCTAATAGATTGCCTGGTAGTTCTGTGTGGATCTGGATCCAACGAAGAACGTGTAATTTTACAACACCTAATTTTCTATATTAAACCTTTCCTACTTAAAATCTCTGGATTAATTTTGTTTCTTTCACTGAACATTCCCAGGCATTTAGTCACTTTATCAACCTATTTACTGATATAATACTTATATTATACTGTAATTATCACTTAATGCATTATTTTCTTTCCAACTTGTTCAACCTTCTCTCTCCTACACTGCAAGCTGACTTAGTTCATGAACACTCCCTGAAGTTTAAGCTTATGATAAGCTTATGCTTGAGATATCCAGAAAATATTCCAAAGAGGGCTTTTGTTTATAAAAGAGAAAGCTAGGAGGCCAGACCTGCTGCAGTCTGATAATGAATTAGCCCCATGTGGTATTTAAATTAATAAAAATTTTTAAAAAGTAAAGTAGCTGCTGTACTATACAGTGCATACATACATTTCTATCACCACAAAAAGCTTTACTGCACAGCACTGGGCTAGAGTGAGGCTGCTGGCCTAGGGGAGCATTACTTGGGCCACAGCAACAAGAAGAATGACTGACAAGCTTACTTTTAACTCAGTTTCGTATAAATAGATATGATAGGTCTATGTAAGTTGTCATTCAAGTATATATGTGAATTATTAAAACTCAGATACTTAGGACAGAGTATTAGTAAAATCTGCTATGCTCTTCAAGAATTGTTCTGATGCTTCAAATTTCTTTGTTTTTAATAGAAACAAAAACAAAAATCCCTTAAGTGAACTGAACTAACTTGTAAATTATCAAAACTATACTAAATTCATCTGGATATAGTCAAATCAGAATACAACACACAAAAAAAAACAAAGCAGGGCCGGCCCGGTGGCGCACTGGATAAGTGCGCCGCTTGGGAAGCGCGGCGGCGCTCCCACTTGAAATAAAGGGACTTTTTTTACACACAATAGGCAGAGCTTAATTGTTACTTGGGGGCACTCAATTGTTGGAGACACTCAATTGTTACTACATAAAAAGAATCATTTAAACAGAGGTCTGTCCTCAAAGCTGGCTATGGGTAAAGCTTACAGAGTTAGAGTTAAGAGTCATATAAAAACAGAAAAATTCTGACTCAAAAGCATAATTGAGCTATATATAACATCAACAGACTTCAGCCTAAGGGATACTCTGAAGATAAATCAGTTATCTCCATTACAGATGAAGCAAAGGAAGTTATTAGTGATCTAAAGGAGTGTCGCAAATATTTTGAGAAAATGCTACAGTGTAATAATATTAAGTACATTAAATGTTATAGAAAGCTTACATTATTTTTTAATGACTTTGAAAAATTTCAGCACTAACAATAAAAATCACAACTAGATTCCAAAAATACTCTTTCAATCAACAAATATTAAAAGCATTTCACATGCAGTTAGGTGCTAGGCCCAAAATTTATATTGTAGTCACTAGAGCAATTACTGTACAAAATCACACTAGGCAAATTAAAATGGAATATTTAAAAATGTACAAATAGGGCCAGCCTGTGGCTCACTCGGGAGAGTGTGGTGCTGATAACACCAAGGCCACGGGTTCGGATCCTATATAGGGATGGCCGGTTCGCTCACTGGGTGAGCGTGGTGCTGACAACACCAAGCCAAGGGTTAAGATCCCCTTACCGGTCATCTTTTTTGGAAAAAAAAAAAAAAAATGTACAAATAACCCACTGGAAGGCAAGAAAAGAAAAACTGCATAATGAAAAGAAGAAAAACAACAAATAATTTATAGCCCTAATCCAAACATATCAATAATTATATTAAATACAAATGTTTTAAACACCAATTGAAAGGGATTGTCAGAAGGAGGGGACAAAATGACCAACAAGAAATTCACTTCAAATATAATGATCTAGGTAAGTAAACATAAAAGAATGGCAAAAAGATATACCATGCAAGCACTAATCAAAGAAAACCTGGAGTGGCTATATTAATATCATCTAAAATAGAACTCATAGCAAAGAGGGACATTACATATTACATAATACAATTTACTAAGATGACATACCAATTCTAAACATGTATGCAACCAAGAACAGAACTTCAAATTACATAAAGCAGAAACTGACAGCACTGATGGAAGAGACAGATAAATTCATAATTATAGTTAGATGCCCTACAGTGGACTCATTGAAGCTTGAATCGTGTCTCCCAAGTTTCTGTATTAGAAATTTGGCCCAAGGGCTGGCCCCATGGCTCACTCAGGAGAGTGAGGTGCTGGTAGCGCCGAGGCCATGGGTTAGGATCCTATATAGGGATGGCCGGTGCACTCACTGGCTGAGCGTGGTGTGGACAACACCAAGCCTAGGGTTACAATCCCTTTACCAGTCGAAAAACAACAACAAAAAACTTGGCCCCCACTGTGACTGTTAAGAGGGTGAGAAATCCTCTTGTGGTAACTGAAATGTGGAGCCTTGAAGAGGTGATTAGATTGTAGGATCACACCATAGGGATTGGATTTAAAATGGTAGTCAGAGGTGTGGTTCTGAGGGCTTTAAAAAATGAGAGAGGAGAGACTCCCTTGCTTTCTTTGCTTCCACCATCTTGCAATGTGAGACCCTTGGGTCACAGCTGCCATCACCAGATGGACTCTGGACTTCCCAGCCTCAGAAACTGTAATAAATTTTGTTTTCTTTATAAATCACTAAATTTCAGGCATTTTGTTATAAACAACAGAAATGGACTCATACAGACTCCAACTACTCTCTCATTGAGAGAAAAATCAGCAAGAATATAAAAGAACTGAAAAATGCCATCAACCAACTGGATATAATTGACATTTACAGAAAAACCTTCTGAACAGCAGAACATTCATTCTTTTCAAGAGCACATAGAATATTCACCAAGATAGGCCACATCCTAGGTCATACTTTGTTAAAATTTTTAACAAAGTTAAAAAGAACTTAAATCACACAAAGTTTGTTCTCAAAGAAATTAAAACCAGCATCAATTATACAAAGATAACAATATCTCCAAACTAAAAAATGAAGAAAAATCAATGAAGCTGAAAACTGGTTCTTTAAAAAGATCAACAAAATTGACAGAACTCTAGCCAGACCAATTAGAAATAAGAGAGAAGACACACATTGCCAATATGAACAATGAAAGATCTATAAAATTACAGATTACTACAGATCCTATAAGCATATAAAAGGTAATAAAGGATTATTATGAACAAGTATAAGCAAATAAATTAAACAAATTAAATGATACAAATTTCTTGAATGGGACAAACTACCAAAGCTCACTGAACAAAAGGCAACCTCAACAACCCTATGTTAATTAAAGAAATTGAATTCATAAACAAAAACAAAACTCCAGGCCTATATGGCTTCAAAGGTGAATTCTACAAAACATTTAAGGAAGAAAAAATGCCAGTTCTACACAGACTGTCCAGAAAAAGCAAAGAGGCAGGAACATATTTTTATGAGGTGATCAGTACTGTGATACCAAAACCCAGAAAACTACAGGCAAATATATCTCATGATCATATTAAAAAATATATGCAAGTCAAATCCAGTTATATATAAAAAGGATAATTCATTATCATCAAGTGGGATTTATCCCAGGAATGAAAGGTCAGCTTCATGTCGTTCAAATAAGAAAAAAAAAAAAAATCAACCAATGTAATTCACTGTATTAACTACAACTGAAAAAAACATGATCTCAGCAGATATAGAGAAAGTATTTGGTAACATTCAATACCATTAATGATAAACAACCTTCAGCAAACCAAAAATAGAAGGGAACTTGAACGCTTTCTCTTCTAAGATCAACAATGAGGCAAGCATGACCTCTCTCACTACTTCTATTTAATACTGTACTTACTGGTAACCCTAACTAGTTCAGTAAGGCAAGAAAACGAAATAAAAAGTATATGGTTTCGAAAGGAAGAAGTAAAACAGGCCTTACTTCCCAATGACATGATTGTCTATGTACACAAAACCAAGGTAACAACAAATAAACTACTGGAACTAATGAGAGTATAAGGACATAGAACACACTGTCAATAAATAAAAACTAATTTTATTTTTGCATACTAGTAACAAGCAACTGGAAACAAAAATACAATTTACAGTAGCATCAAAACTACTAAATTTTTAGATATATACAACAAAATATGTATAAGACCATACAGTGACAAACACAAAACACTACGAGAAAAAATTAAAGAAAAACTAAATACGTGAAGAAATATACCATTTTCATGGATCAAAAGATTCCATATTGTTAAAATGTCAATTCTCCCCAAATTCTTCTATAAATTCAATGCAATCCTAGCCAAAAGCAGGGATGCGTTTTTGTAGAAACCAACAAACTGTTTCCAAGATGTATATGAAAATGCTAATGAGCTAGAAAAGTCCAAATAATTTTGGGGAAAAACAAGTCAGTGGTTTATATTACCTGATTCCCAGGTGATTTTCGAAATGGTTGCTAATGCAATTCACTGGGAAGAGGACATATTTCTTTAAACAAATGGTGTGGAACACCCCCCCAAAGGACCTTTGACCCTTCTCTCACTTCACAGAGAAAAATTACCTTAAAATGTATCACACATCTAAATGTATGAGCTACAACTATACGATTTCTAGCAGAAAACATAGGAGAATA